GAGAGTGGAGACCCAAACCTAGAATCAAAATCAACAATCGCATGAAAATTCAAGACAGGCCATGTGTGTGGTCTGCGCCACACCAGGGTGTGGCAGAATCTGCCCTGTCTGCTATGGGTGTGGTCTGCGCCACACCAGGGGCAGAGTCTGTCCTGTCTGTCATGGGTGTGGTCTGCGCCACACCAGGGTGTGGCAGACTCGTTTTAGAATCCTAATCTGTTTGGGATTGTGTTTTTTTATAAATAGAAACACGTCCCTTTAGGGTTTGAGAGAGAAAAAGAGCACGAAAAAAAGAGGGTTTTGAGGGCTCTTTGAGATTAGAAATCTTAGAGAGAGAGAGACCAATTGCAAGCATTGTAATCTTCTTCAAGTAATCAAAGAATTGCGTGGTGTGGCTCCCGAGGACGTAGGCACGTTGCCGAACCTCGTTAAATCTGGTGTGTTCTTTCTTATTTACTTTCCTATAAGTTTTTATCTTTGATTTGTGGTGAATTTCTTTCTTACTCAACTCTCAAACACAAGGTCCGGAAGGGCAAGGGATCGATTGATTGTTTCGAATCCCCAACACTTGTTGCCTCGGGAGAATATTGCCAACATCTCCGTGCCCTTGACTTGATATGAGCTGCACATCCTAGAGAGCCAACCTAAACATTGTTTAGCAAGGGCACGTACGTATTCTATTATGTATCTCTTACTCTATCTAAAAAAAGTCATCTTTTGGTTCGGTTTTGGTTTTCTACCCCTATAGATGTCATTGTTTTAAAAATTCCACCAAACCCGTATACAATGCGAAGGATTTGAGTGTCATTTTAGGGATAAATTACGAAAATCTTAATTACAGGTTCCCAAACTTAATAAACTACTTCATCTTCATCTACCACGTTTTTCATTGGAACCAAAATGTAAAATAACATTAAAGAACGATCTTCTTCTCCATGTGAACATCAAAACACCTTCCATTCTTAATCTCTTGGATCTGAAATTTTATTTATTGTGGAATTTCTTAGTTGTTTTCTTAATGGATTTTGTCAGCTTTTCTAATTTTGTACTATACAATAGATCAGATCTTCAATGTGCAGAGCATGTCCGGTTCTCTCACCTCCAGAAATGTGGCGACAGTGATTGGTTAAATCACTTTGTAATAACATCAATTCATAGAGGTACAATTTCTTACCAATCTTTCATGGCTCGGTTCAATATGAGTCCTTATCTGAAAAACTTTAGCCATGGATTTATGTTTTCTCAATTACATTTACCAAGCATGGTGCATGAAGCGATAATAAAACAAGTATTTTATAGAGCAACGAAAAAATTCTATGAAGTCTGCGATCTACAAAGGTAGGAAGCAAAGAGTCAAGCAAAATATAATCATGCAAACGGTGCAATTGGGGCCAAAGTTTTCTGTCTTCCTCTCTAGACATGCCTCCATTTTGTACATTTTTCAAAATCAAGGAGAGAAAACAAGTTATTCAACTCCAGCATTCATCTGGTTATATTCAGACCTATAGTTAATAGTTAATAGTTAATTTTATCTATATATATGCAGAACTAAATAAGTGATTTGATGAAAATAGAAGTTTTCTTTGATTTTCACTGGGGTATAGCTTACACTGTTTGTTCTTTCAGTTTACATTTCTTCTTCTACGTTAACCTGCAAATGGAAATGTTGGCATCACGGGCTTTTATGTGATTTTCAGTTCTATTCTAATCAAGATGGACAAATTTTCAGAACAGTCCTCTTTGGACTTTTATTCTCAAAAAAAGACCTATTTCGAACTTATTTTCAAAAACCAACCTGGTTTCAGCCCTGGCGCTGAAACCAGGTCGGTTTTTGCAAATGATTTTCCGAAACTTCAAGGGAGTTGAACTCTCGTGAAGTTTAGCAGATTTTTAACTAACTGTTAAAACTTCACGGGAGTTCAACTCCCGTGAAGTTTTATTGCTTAAACAAGCTTCACGGGAGTTCAACTCCCGTGAAATTTTATTGGTTGAACAAACTTCACTGGAGTTCAACTCCCGTGAAGTTTGTTACAGTGCAAAAACTCCACGGGAGGTCAACTCCCGTAGAGTTTCAGTCAAATTTTCCAAAGGACGCTCTCTGGAAAATGAAGCTTGTAACTCCACGGGAGTTGAACTCCCGTGGAGTTGCAGGTTTTACAAAACATGCACAACAGCCTGTGCGTGTTCTGTATATACGTAACGTAACTCATATGCATTATATTTATTAGTTGACAACAATTGATCTTATATACTCTGAATTGCAACAATATATACATAATTCAACCATGAATTAAACACGAATCAAACAATACTCATAAAGAGTACATATATAAACAATAATTGATCCACAAAAGTATAGTATTTGAAAATTTATAAAAGTTATAAATTTTAACAAAATAAGCTCACATACGACCCAAAATAGCTCATCTCCTTCCTCTCCCTCTCTTCCCCTTCCACCTCGCTCTTCCCCGCCCCCTGCGTTCTTGCTGATGAGCCTCAATTATTTGAGTATCCGGCTGTGTATGAGGCTGAGAAGCACCTGTTCCATCAGCATGCGAAGTATTGGCTCTATCAGCATGCGAAGTGTCGACTTCATCGTCACGTGACCGTCGTCGTCGCATGTACGCTTGCCCAAATGATCAAGACCTGTCCTCACAACCTGCAAACTCGTCGACGTGAGTCTTATGAAACACCTATGCTATTGTCTTTTTGATCCTGTTGAAGACCCCTAACGCCACCGAATCCTGAATCTCTGGCATGTGCGTATCAATATCAGTTTCAATGCTATCAAAAGCACATATCTGCGAGGTAAACAATTTATTAAGTACCATCTCAATAAAAAATATTATAGTTTAGCTTAGAAACTTACGTAATCTCTCTCGATCATCCCACAAGGGATGTAACTGTCTGTCGGATTATGAAAATTCCATCAAACACGTATACAATGCGAAGGATTTGAGTGTCATTTTAGGGATACATTATGAAAATCTTAATTACAGGTTCCCAAACTTAACAAACTACTTCCCCACCTTCATAATCTGGACCATACTGTTTCAAAATCATAGTATCTTCATCTACCACGTTTTTCATTGGAACCAAAATGTAAAATAACATTAAAGAACGAACTTCTTCTCCATGTGAACATCAAAACACCTTCCATTCTTAATCTCTTGGATCTGAAATTTTATTTATTATGGAATTTCTTAGTTGTTTTCTTAATGGATTTTGTCAGCTTTTCTAATTTTGCACTATACAATAGATCAGATCTTCAATGTGCAGAGCATGTCCGGTTCTCTCACCTCCAGAAAATGTAGCGACGATGATTGGTTAAATCACTTTGTAATAACATCAATTCATAGAGGTACAATTTCTTACCAATCTTTCATGGCTCGGTTCAATGAGTCCTTATCTGAAAAACTTTAGCCATGGATTTATGTTTTCTCAATTACATTTACCAAGCATGGTGCATGAAGCGATAATAAAACAAGTATTTTATAGAGCAACGAAAAAATTCAATGAAGTCTGCGATCTACAAAGGTAGGAAGCAAAGAGCCAGGCAAAATATAATCATACAAACGGTGCAATTGGGGCCAACGTTTTCTGTCTTCCTCTCTAGACATGCCTCCATTTTGTACATTTTTCAAAATTAAGGAGAGATCGAAAACAAGTTATTCAACTCCAACATTCATCTGGTTATATTCAGACCTATAGTTAACAGTTAATTTTATCTATCTATATGCAGAACTAAAGAAGTGGTTTGATGAAAATAGAAGTTTTCTTTCATTTTCACTGGGGTATAGTTTATATTGTTTGTTCTTTCAGTTTACATTTCTTCTTCTACGTTGACCTGCAAATGGAAATGTTGGCATCACGGGCTTTTATGTGATTTTCAGTTCTATTATAATCAAGATGCAAATAACTATTTTTTCTTTTTTTTTAAAACTTCATTAACGTTAATAACAATTTCTTTATTACACACATAGGTGTATAAGTCATTATTTTGTGAGTTACCTAATGCTCATATATCATTTTCTACATTAATGTTTTTATACACCTATTTATACTAGCATAGCTGTTGATGCATCTCTTTTAATTTCTCACAAATGTGTTCTGCCTCAGGCACTAGTCTATGATAAAAAGGGTATCAACTTGGGTTTGAAGCAAGTTCTCGTTTTTTTAAGCAAATTAATATTTCTTTAATCAAGTTTAAAATGCAAAGATGATAAAAAAGAATTTTTTTCCAAATAAAAAAACCCTTTTTTCACTTTGGTACCCCCAAAGTTTAGGTATCAAAGTGTTAAGAAAAGCAACTTTGGGTATTAGAGTGCTGAAAAATACTTTGAAGTATCAAAGTGTAAAAAATAGCTAAACTTTGATGTACCAAAGTGAAATGAAGATTGTGCTAAACATGGACCGGGATGCATATCTAGCATTTGATGAGAATACTCCAGATTTTAGGGACAAATTTTGAAATGACTTGTTAAATTGGGAAATTTAATTGTAATTTCTATTAATTCGAGGCACTAATTTTGGAGCTACTTGTAAGATTTTAGGATTTAATAAGCAATTCTTATACTTTCATAGACTACGTAGGACTAGTTAAAGCGCTCGAATTTTTAAACAAATTTAGGGACTAATTCCAGTAGGATAGCTATTTTAATAATTTGTTAAAATACTAATTTTAACAATTTAAGGGATTAACATGTTGAAACACTCAGTTCAATTATAAGTTCATTTTAGCCCGCTAATTTATTGCTTTAAACGTGTGCTAAACAGCTCTGTCAAAAGATCCAACCCGAAAACATACTCGCAACTCCGAATACGCTACGCGTTTAAAGTCAGCGTAGATCCTACGCTCAGCGTCGGCCGTCCAAATAATCAATCTCTCATCTAGTCCGTCCATTTCATTAAAAACCCGTTTCGGGACCCGACCCGGTTCGATGAATTGCGGCGTCAGTTATACGCTACGCTGTATTCTCCTGTATATAAAAAAATAATCCGCCTCTCTCTAAACTCAGCTACTGAAAAAGAAAAAAATTTTAGACAAAGAAAGAGCAAAAGACAGAAAAATAACACGAAAACTAAGGTAATTTCTTCTCTCATTCTCTACTTCCTTCTTGGATTTGATTGGAATTTCTAGGGTTTAAGCATGGCATTTTATCTTTTTCCTGGATCTTATCTAAATTGGTGCGATTTTGTTCATAGGAAAAAAATGTTGCTCTCTGGATCGGGCGCAGCGTGGAATGCGAACCCTAACAAGTCTTATGTGGTATAACTTCATCCGTTGCATTGAAATTTCTAGGGTTTAAGCAAAGCCTTTGCTCTTTTTCCTGAATATTCTCGAATTTGTCGCGTTTTTGTTCTTATTATCCACAGGGGCCAGAATATTTTCTAAATTGTTGCATTTTTGTTGCTTAGCAAGTCTTATGAGGTATGATTTATCCGTTTCGTTGAAATTCTAGGGTTTAAGCAATTCCTTTGCTCTTTTATATCAATATTGTCTAATTTGTTGCGATCATGTGCTTTTTATCCCTAGAGGGTTGAGTTTACAGAAATAAATAGCCCTATGCGAGGTCACACAGCAGAAAATGTGAACCCTAACAAGTCTTTGAGGTATGATTTATCCTATTGGTCAAAATTTGTAGGGTTTAAGCAATTCCTTTGCTCCATTCTCTGAATATTGTCTAATTTGTTTCGATTTTGTACTTTTTATCCCTACAGGGCTGAGTTTACAGAAATAAGTTGTGCTTTCTTGGATAGGCGCAGTGGGGAATGTGAACCCTAACAAGTTTTATGAGGTATGATTTTGTAATTTATTCTGTTTGATACCTTATTATCTCTGTTTTAGGGATGTTTTGTGTTTTTTTAAGTAATTGTTGGCACCTAACATAAGGGTTTCCTGAAAAGATGTCAACTTGAAGGTTTGGTTTAGGTTCTAAGCTTTTGGGGCATAAGCATAACTGAAGTTAGGTTTGTGATTGTGGTCTAAGGCTGCATAGAGTATGGTTGGTTGAATTCTGTGCATCTAATTTTGTTATTTTTATCCGTAGAAGTTTGGTTGAATTTTCTGAATATTCGCTGTCACGTGTGATCCTTCTCCGCTTCCAAATAAACATCACCGACCTCCAATCCTTTATCAGGAATGAGTCGATCCTGAAGTATCACCCTAACCTTGATGCGGGCGATTGCAGTGGGTGCGGGCGATTGCAGTGGGTGCAACATCTGCCTCAAAGTAGGGAGCTACTGGACCATTTGCCTGTGCGGTCAAAAGATATCCTGCATGAGCTTAACTTTAAAAATATGACACTGTCCGGGATTGCAACGTGGTAAATGTGAACCCCAAACCTTACAAGTTTAAGATCTCTAGCCTTAGTTTCCGTCCCAAGGAAAATTACTTGATGGCTGCTTCTTGGGATAACCAGGTTTTTTAGGTTAATAGACCTTAATTTTATGAGTTCTGCAATAACTTTGATACCATACATCTGCTACCTGGATGTTATTATAGCTCTTCTGGTTTTGCTTTGAATGATCGGCAGGTTAGGTTCGGGAAATTATGACAGGCAACAGTGAGGCGAAGGCCGCCATACGCCATGACCAACTGGTATTCCTATATATTAGATGCTTAACCCATTTCCTCCCTTAAACTACCATGCAGTAACTGAAAAAATATTATTGCTAACAACTCATTTGTATGAATTAGGTTCTGTGCTCTACTTGGAAGGATGATGGCTCCAAGTGTTCACCGGAGGATGTGATGAGAATGTCAAAATGTGGCCCTTGATATGTGGTCGCCAGCCTATGTCATGCACCTGTCAATGAAGTTACTTGGATTGAACAGTTGAGTTACCTCGCCACAGGAAACTGTGATAAGTGAGGCAAGTGGAGATCGAGTTACTTGATTAGATTTTCAAAAATCACATCATTTGTTTTGTTCTCTTTTCCTAATTTATGTAAAATGCAAGTGCAACAGTATGATTTTAATTTTCATGGACTGCGATGACTGTTTATGGTAATTGTATTTTACATATTTCTGGTCGTGTCATTTTTTGGCATGTATTCATCCAATTGCCTTATCTAATTATAGCTTATGGGCCACCCGTATAAGGTTCTCTGACATTTTAAAGTTTAATTGATTGTTAACTGCTGCTGTTTCGAATTTTGGATTAAAACCTTTAACGTCTTTCCACATGAAGCTATGCGTAGTGGATACTTTGAGTATGATCTGGCCATTACATTGCTTATAGAGATGGTTGTATTTATGTACGTAATAGTAAGTAGCTCTTTCAGAAGTAACACTTGCATCTTTGTTTATTGCCATTCTTGGTAGTCTATGTTGTCTAAACTAACAATGGAAATGATTGGGGTTGGGGGTTTTGGACTAGGGAGGATTCTGCATCTGTCACTGAAGAATAAGGATGAGGTTGAACTGAGGCGAAGCATATTTGACATTTGTTAGGAAACTGCTAGGCTGAAAAGCGTTTAGATGCTGTGAGCGAACAATGTGTTTCAATCGACTAGAGGCTGTTTGCTATCAATGTATGTCAAGCAAAACCATCCCTTATCACTCCCCTTATATGGACCCTCCTGGAATGGCCTCCATTTTAACATTACTTTCTTGAAAATGCAAAATGCACGTAGACAAGCATATTTTAAATTTATACTCACGAGGTTAGAACCTAGATGCTTTTGAACTCATGTTTTGATTCCGTGTGGATTCTGGGCTGTAACAGTTTAGAAACCATATGATGCCCCAATGCAAAGTGGATTCAATTAGGTGTTAGATCTTTTTAACTAAGCCTCAAAACTATTACTTGAATCAGTAACCCTATTTGCTTTAAATATAGATACCATTTCTCAAATAATTTAGCAGCTGGCAAATTCCAAAAAAGATGGTGATAGAATTATTGAATAGTTCAAAATTTCAAATTCCTACTTTGTTGTAACCCATTGATTTTATATTCATTTAAACTTTGATAGCCTACAATATTATTCATTTTTCTTATATCTTATATGATTTTTTCATAATTTGTCTATTTATTTATCTACTCAATACCTTATTTTGGTTGTTGTATGCGCTTTGACAACATTTTGAACCTTTGAACGCTGCTGTCTTTTCACCTTCTTTGGGAATTTCTCTTAGTTTAGTAGGTGACACATCATCATAAGGATATTTTCTCATCATCCACTGGCTAATTCTATTGAAATTTATCTAAGTTAATCTTAGAGAAATTCCCAAAACAGGAAAGACTGAAACTTTGATCTGTACGGTTTAACTTACTGTTTGGATTCTAGCATGCCACTTAATTAACTCAAACTTTATGTTTTGGACATCACCCAATTCTGAGGGCTTGATTTGACAGTGGGAAACATCTTGATCACTGGATCATGGATGGGTGTACTGTAAATTCCTTTTTTGTTTGATAGGCTGGGCATCTTGCCCTCTTGGAAGAACTTTTTCTTTTCTTTATGTTCTTTCATGTATTCAGCAGCTCACAATGTTTACTATACGCGTCCATGGTCTATTTTACATGTCTTATGTTTTAGCATGTGTTAGTTTTCCAAATATCTAATAGCTCTATACGTATGGTGGTGTGTCTGCTTTGTTTGGTATCTAAATTTTTGGTAGGTAATCAAACTTTTGCAAAAGCTAGTTCTGATGGCCCATTCAAATTTTGGAATAATGCCGGCAGACAGAGGCTGAAGGTATGCGCGCCTATATGATTCTTTTGTTGTTGTTGTTGTTGACTCTACCCACTATTTGTTTTACCTTTATTCTTATTCACAAATGTAGTCTGGTATTATATGGTTATAGTGATTTATTTTTTCAAGCTGAAAGTTCTTTCCATTTTAGTTGTTTTAGTACTTATGGTAACTGCTTTCCTATTTGGCTTAAATTAGATAGATATAAATTATAATTGGAGTAAAGCTCTTGTAACCTTAAGTGGATAGGAGCTTGTTGTCCACCAGCTTTTTATCCAATAATTTTGCTTTGAGATTTATGCTAGTATGTGTCACAAATCAATGCACACATCTCAAAAATAGCTTTGATGACTAGCAAGGATCTCAAATCAAAAACTAAAGGCTGAAAAAGGTGGCGGACGAGAGCTCCTATCCACTTAAATTTATTCTAGCTTTACTTGACGTAATTGTATATTGTAGTATCATTTAAACAGTTTTGAGCATTCTCACATGATGATGTGATCCTAAGTGTCTTCTCTACCTGGGGTCTATATGTTATGACTAAGATGTACAAATGTGAATTAGCATCCCCTGAAGTTTAAGTCAGCAAAAATTTTAAGGCAGGTCACTAATCTGCAGGACTATTTTCATTACTAGGATAGTTTGTCCACCTTCCTATGGGCAATGTTAGAATAGTTGTGGGCAATGGCCATAAATTAATATCCTTACTGATATGGAATTTTTAGATTGAAGCTCAATGTATTAATTGTTTTTTTAGTATAAAATTAGTACTCATATTGAAAATATTGTCTAATTTTGGCATCTTTTTAAAAATTTGCCACCTTTTTGGAGCCTATGCCACAATGATGATGAAATTGGTAAATTGCATATCGAAGAGTCACTTGTGGTACCTGTATTTGGTGATGGAAATTAAGTTCGGTCAGGCCACATCTTTATAGGGAAATTGTGAGGTCCAACCTTGTAGTCCATATTCAATCAACATGATTATATAGATAAATTATCTGAACCAGCTACCATAACTCATTTTGAGGCAAACTTCATAGTTAGAAAGGATCAAAACTACCAGGATTGCACTATGGATGAAATGCATTTAAATGACACTGTCTAAGTTGTCTAACCATTATACACTTCTCTTTTCTGCTAAGAATGCTGCAGTTATTACTTGTTGCCTAGATGCCATAAAAGTTTAAACAGTGGCATTATCACATGAATAGCATTATCATCATACCCACTGCCACTTTATGCACTTACATATGAAAGCAATTGTGTATTTAGAAGTAATGATCGGGTCATTTGGGTTAAAATGGGGGAAGGGGCGGTGCACATGCACATACACAAGGTTATAGTTGATCCATGTATTAGATGGATTTGACCCATTTGTAACCCTGATTACCCCCACAAAAAAAAATGGCCTGAAATACAACATCAAGCCTGGTTAAAATGGTTGAATGTGCATCCTGTCGGAATCATGGGCATTGTGTCCGGCTACCTTTATTTTCAGTAAAATCTTAAAAATGATTTGTGTAACAAATTTTAATCAAGAAGGTAATACTTTCTTTTACTTCCAAACAAGGTGCTAGGGGCAGATAGCTCTTATTCGTACATTTACAAGGCCATCTCACAGCTCATGATTACGGGATAGCATATACTACTGGTGTATGAGAATTAATGTGATACTTAAGACCTAGGAGATATATAAAAAAGAAACAAATGATAATTGTGGCAGCAACAGGCAGCGATAAAGTTTCTTTCCTATCCACAAAGTTAGTGAAAGAGATGCCTTATCTATCGAGGCTTCATATTCAGTGAAGGCTGAGATTGAAAACTCAGATGTGTTCACTCTTTCAGGTTTGATGTTTGGTATGTTTTCTGGAATAGGTTGTTATGATTGATACGGTGAAGTAGGTGATGGGATCGGTTGACTGTGACTTATGCTGGTGAAGTAGTTTGCCAATAAACTGAACAAAAATTAGGTTGATAAGAGATGCACTAAGTCAGGTAGCTTCATGGCTTGTTCAAGCCAAGCGGCACCTGAAATGGGTTGGGTCATATTCACTAAAGCCTGGTCAATTTGCGGATTTTTTAATTCAATAAACATTCAATCCAGAAGTATTTTATAATTTCAATTTACAAGCTTTATATTCATCGAAATCCCTTGAATGCCATAGGCTGCATTTATGATACTGTAGAGGTAAAATAAAAAGTCAACTGTAGCACGTGACAAAATTTCTTTTTTTGTTTCAGTACGTAGATTTTAATAAATATTGTAACTTTCATGTATTCTATATGATGTATAATTTTAGAAAAATAATTATAGACCATCGTATGGTAGAGCAGAGAATTAAAGAATTTATTACAGTGTTTGTTTATTCTTTGAGTGCACTTTACCTGAAGTGAGTACACAAGCACATGCACATGGGGTAACTCTATGTTCGTGCATGCTCATGCGAGCATGTTGAGTTTATTGGTTAGCATTGGAAAGAATACTAGGTTATGCAAGAACATATTTAATTTCTGGTAGTGCACAATGGAAGTTTAAAAAGTGCTAGTAATATTATACTATATATATATAATATCATATTTAACTTTTTAGTTATGTAGAATATGTTTAAGAATAAGGTGTTGCTTTTGAATTTCTTAGACACCCCGGATAATCTTGTCGTAAATTTTCTTTCCAGAGTATAGATTTATAACTATTTAAACTGTAATTTGGTTCAAATTCTGTAATGTTCTTGTAGAAATTAAATAAATTAGCACTATATTATTTGTAATCAACCCATCATAACTACATCGTAATGTTCTTGTAGAAATTAAATAAATTAGCACTATATTATTTGTAATCAACCCATCATAACTACATCTAGAAGTTACATTTTATGCTCGAATAACTTTTTACATTCATCTATTTCTTTGTTGTTGTTCTTCTTCTTCTTCTTCTTTTAATTTTTATTTTTAGTTTTATTTTTATTTTTATTTTTTTGGATTAATGTTTCTGGGTAAGTTAGAACCTGCTTTTGATTGTACTTATGAAATCTCTTATTCCATCAAAATGCATCCTCTTTTAGAAATTTGGAGTTTTCTTTCCCATTCAAGTGCAAGGTCGCTGATTGTTCTTTTTGCTAGTAGATATCTGCTATAATTGCATTTGTTGCATAAAACAGTTCGCTTTTGATTTATATAGTTGTTGCTTATTGATTAAAATAAAATGCAGATTTAATTACTACTTTCTTCATTATATTGATTTTATGCCTAATTTTGGCATAGCTTGACAAGATTTTACATAGTTAATATGAAATTTCTCTTTGACCGTTTGCCAATAGAATCATAGGATGGTTCTGAGTTTCCTTCCTTTCTTCTTTTCGTTTTCAGACTGGCTAGATGTTGTCTTGTCACCCGATCCCTGGCAGCACCTTTAGCAATGACGGATCGATTTTTGCCTATGCGGTAAGTTTTACCTCATTTAGTTTTGAAACTCATACATGATAAGCCTGAACAAAGTTTATTGTTTTTGTTGTTTTAAAAATGGGTTTTGGTTGGAATTTCCTCAGTACCTTCTCTCACTTTTCTTTGTCATTTTTCCTTATTTTTTTTCACTTCGTTTTTCCTGTATTCTTGTCATTAATTTCTGCTAATACATTTATTCACAAACTGCCTCTTTCAGAACTGTCAAATCCAGTAATGCCTATGTTTCAATCATGCTCTCATATTTTCATGGTCATCTCGGACTATGACTTGTGTTTGCTGCATCCTGCAATATCTTTTTATTTTGAGTACATTCGATGGAACTTCTTCAGCTTCCATAACACATTTTGGTTCTTATGATTATGAACTTCATTGTCTGGTTGAGTTCTTGTAACGCTTGGAATCATATTGTTGTAAGTTATGGTGCCTCAAATGACTTGAACTAGAAGTCTACATCATTCTTGAAGAGTTGAAGATAACATTAGTTAAGGCTTGAGAGCAATGGTTTTAGAATGAAAGAAGTCTGTGCTAAAGTTGTCATTTTGTGTTATACTGTTATTTAAAGAGAAGTTGGATTAAGCACCTTCTTTTGAATTAGATACAGGACCACAGTCACGGTCCCTGCTCTTTTGGGCAATGGACCTGCATCATCTCATGAAACAAAGCCGATAAAAGCATAGGTTATTTGAAGAGATGCAATTTCATGAACCGAGGCAGAAACGATGAACAAAATATACATGATTCTTCATATACATCATGCATGTAATTGTTTTCTTTCTGGTAATGCGTTTCTTCCTTGTGGAAAATGGGGCAGGGATTATATACAATGAGACCGTAGACCATTGGATATTGATGGAGGAAATAACGATGCAGATGTGGGACTCTTCAAGTAAAGTATAATATCGACTTGAATTCCATTTTCTCAAACTAGAGTAAGGTAGCTAAGTCAAATATGCATTAGAGAGTCGAATATGCAAGATAGCCAATAGGAAAAGGTGATCTGAATAATCTCTGTAGTAGTTCCATGAACAATACCTTGCGGGATTAGATCCGTGATACGAAAACCAAAATCAGAATGAGGAAGGAAAAGATATCGTGATGTAAGTCAATGATTTCTCCATCAATGACGCTCTTTTCCCACTACCTTAACGAAATTTTTTCCCATTTTTGTTAAATACTACCATTATATACGAGACTTTGTTCTCTCACTTTGCTCTACGGAAATTTGTGAGGTTGGCTTAAGAATTGTAGCTTTGGAATATCTTGTTTGCTATGTTTGCTTGCTTACTTGCTTGTTTGTTTTTATATCTTATTTTGATTGTTTTATGTGAACCCTCAAAATTTTGGCCGGTTCGGTCGGTTCAAACCGAACAAACCGACCGAACTGGCCGAAATTTGATAGTTCGGTTCGGTTTTAACTAGAGTTCGGTTCGGATCGGGTTGAAGTTTTTTCAACCTGAATCGCATGAACCGACCGAATCATATTACAGATTCTAATTACTATCCGCATCCGCTTAAACCCGACCCACTATAGTTCATATAGAGTTGCTTTGCTGCAGCTTGATATTTTTTTTCCTCATGCGACCTAATAGCAATGAAATACCCCAACAATGGTGTTCTCTCCAATTCTAGGGCTTTTCATCATCTCTAGTTCTCTACCTCTTTCTATTATCTATTCGCTTCTTCTACTTTGGATCAATTCACTTTGGAGATAAGAAACTTAAGCCATAATATTGATTCTAATCTTTTCTTAATTTTTATCATCGATTGATACACATAATGCAAGAGAATCTTTGGATCAGACTTCTCTTTAGATCAAACTTAAAATTTTATAGAAACTATCTCAACATCCAAATTATTACATATATTTTATTTACTTTGTCTATCAGATTGAGATCACTATAATTATTTATGTAAGCTTTCTCTAAAAGTTTATGTAAGCTTTGGCATGAATAAGATTTTGATTTCTACATCTAATATTCAGTAGCATTTGATAGTTTATGAATTTTAATAAATTGAAGTGTAAGAGACTTTTTTCTTCGTCAACAGATTAGAGGTGAAATTGAATTTGAACATAACATTTTTATACCCAAGGGAAAACTAAACAAGCCGACCCGAACCGACTTGAATTGATTTGATTCGGTTTTGAATGATAGGCAGTTCGGTTCGGTTTGGCCAAATTTGACTAAAAACTGAACCGACCGACCGATTGCACAACCCTACTTAAAAGATAGATTAAGAGCGAAAATAGTCGGATCTTCAAATTCCTATGTTGTATCCCCTGGGCCATGAACACAGGGTTCCAGTCTTGGCTTGACCTGTGGCCAAAAATATTGGTCATCACTTCCCACGGGATTTAATTCGTATATGTGCAATAGGGATAATTGCATATACATCCCTCTATTCTAAGATGTATAGCTAATTAAACCTCCCAAAACTATTTGTTGGCACTTCCATCATAAAAAGTTACGAGAACTTTCTTTTTCCTTCCTCAATTAAGAGCGCAATTTAGTCTTTTTTTAAAACCTGTGGACAAAAGGTAAAGTTGTCGCAAAATTACCCACAGGAAACATCCATTGTTTGCCTTGATTCGAACTTGTTGGAATTCTTCATCATTTTGTTGTGCAAGTTCAAATGCCTCCGGCCACCCTGGGGCTTTATAGTTTACCACTAAACAATGAGGCTTTTCTTAGATACAACCGGATAAACCCACCACTTGTTTGGAACTTTGGATTAAATATTAGTTCATCATAGGAATCACCCACTACTAATAAGAAATGAAGAAAGTCAAAATATTAATGTTGTAATAAAAAACAGAGAAAGTGAAGCTACAAAATTATTATTAATAGTATCCAAGACTTGGAAAATCATTTCAAATTCTGAAATGTTCATTTTCACATCATATGATAATCGATAAAATATTTTTCACAACATATGATTCTTCCCCTCTTTTGAAACCAATAATGAATTTGGATTCTTCTTGTTATGGGAAAAGGTGACTTTATTTTATTATGGGTCGGTCCTTTCTATTATATAGATGAGTAGATAGTTCAATATTACAAGTGTACCCAATATGGGATTAAGACAGTTAACAAAATAAAGCTTGTTACAAAGTGCAACAAACAACGGTCGTTGTTGATGTTAAGTGATTACACAGTCAATTATATCCGTGGTTGGATTGGGGGTGAAGTTGATGAGGGGCCGCTTCATTCCTCGAATATCTAGTTCTGAGTTGAGTGACTGAAGTCTACACATATAGAAACCCGTAAGAGGACGGGGACTGGTTCTCCAGTTCCTCCGACGATCAAGTCAGCTGGTGAACTTGAGTGGGGAAAGTGAAGAACTGTGAGTTCTTGTGTGTGTAGTATATTTTGCAGATCTATCTTAGAAGATCAGATTTGAGAATCCTTTTCAGAAGAAGCTTTCTGTTAGAATAGTACATCGTATTTATACTGATGGTATAAGGATAGAATCGTCATTGTAGCTAAGCACAAGATGACGGTGAAGAAGTATGGGCTGACGACTGGTGGAGAGATCATCTCAGCATTAAATGCTAAGCGATTTGAGGCATGGTGGCACCAACATGGTCTGATGAGTCATGAAGGCTATCGGGGTTAGAGGTATGATGGCGCCTGCCAAGTATTAAATGCGATGTCGACGTTGTGTCAGCGGGAGAGGCTCGATGCTGAAGTCCTCTAGCTTCGCTGAAAAGTTACGCCTTTCAAGTCGTTGTGGGGCGTCGAATAGCAGGTCGAGAGGGCTCGTTGCGAGTCGTCTTTGACAAGAGGGCCGACTAGTACCGCATTTCGAGTCGACATGAAGGAATGTCGACTTGACAAGTCGGCTAAGTTGGAACCCTTGTTGGTCTTGGCCGCCAATTTAATTAGGGCATTGCTTGCAGAAGTATATCTGTCTGTTGTTGGCAAAGAGTTACACTTTGGCGATTGAAAACACTATAACAGTCGTGATAAAGCTTTTGTAAGTATGTCAGCAATCAGATCAATTGATCAACATGTAGGGTAACAATCTTCTTAGATAACACCATATCACGAATAAAATAACAGTGCACCTCAATATGCGTTGTGTGCTCATGAAAATCCAATTTACTTGCAATGTAGATAGCTGCTTAATCGTCACAGTAGAGCCTCATAGGTATCGAGAGAACAATACCCATATCTTGCAGTAGGGAGCGAATCTAAGTCATCTCGCTGGCGGCATAAGCCATAGCTTTGTACTCGGCCTCGGCACTGGGGAGAGCAACAACTGTCTGTTTCTTACTGCGCCAAGTGACTAAATTACCTCCAACAAAAGTGCAGTAACTACTAATAAAATGTTGATCAAGAGGATCACCTGCCCAGTCAGCACTAGAGTAGCCTACAATATCCAAATTGTTGGAATCACGATAAAAAAAATCATTTTCTTGGTGCACTTGTCAGGTATCAGAGTACCTGACAAGCTACAAACTAGTGTAACTAATAACTAGTATGATCTGGGAGAGCTTCGCCCAAATTTTGGCCTAGTCTAATATGATGGCCCATAGGGGTCGGAACAGGCCTCACATGAAGCGTATCGATGTACACCATCTAGACGATGCACAACAAAGTTCACATTCAATTGCCGTAAGGGACGGACTGACATCTATCCGTGAACTCGTTGAACTTCCACTCGGTAAGTATAATTTTCATATTGTCTTATTCTCTGTCTAATTATATAATATAGCTAGTGCAACAATTTGATTTTGGTTTCATGGACAAGAATGACTATTTATGGGAATAGGGTATTACATTCTTTCAGCTTGTGTCTCTTTTTTGCATGTTTTTATGCAATAGGCAAACATGCGAGTAGATAAAATGTTCTAAGTTTAAATTCATGGGCAAGAACCTAGATGCTTTTGAAACTGTGTTGATCATGTGTGGATTCTTAGCTAACATTTTAGAAACCGTATGACGCACTGATATAAAGTGGATTAAAGTAGGTGTGAGATCTTCTTATTTAAACATCAACACCAATATTTAAATTAGTTACTCGAGATTTTTGCTTCGAATCTGAATATCGTTCTTGAAAAAGTTACCTAACTGACAATGTCGCATCAGGCTCGAGATTTTTGCTTCGAATCTGAATATCGTTCTTGAAAAAGTTACCTAACTGACAATGTCGCATCAGGCAGTTTGACCCAAAAAAGATGGTTATTGTAGTGTTATCAATGCGCGATGCAGGGCGTAAAGTCCCATTACGCGCAGATGCACGAGGCACGATGCGATGTGTGTTCTCGAGTGAAGTGAGGCACACATCACATGCATAATTTTTTCAAATTAGATAATCACGAATGGAAGAACATGATTGTGAATTTTCACATAAAAACTATGTCAAGATAAGTAATGTCTAATACCTAATCACAATGTGAGGTCGTAATTCATAATATTAACACACCCAACATGGTAGTAAAGTTCACAATTTTTCAAATCAAGACTAATATCGAGGCAAAAATCAAATAGTAAACAAGAATGAGTTAGGATTCTCAATCGAGCTACTGAAATGGTGTAATGGATGTATTTTCTTTTTGGGATATGAGTTATCAGGTATACAAACCCGATTGAAATGTTAAAGAATAAAATATATGAGGTTATACATTGCAAGTGTACTGCGAAGTTCCCTCGCGCATGGCACAAAAAGGCCTTGTCGCTTCAGATGCGTGTGTTTTGTCATTGCTTCGCATCATAGGGCGCATGAGGTGAAATGAGGCGTCCACCTTTGATAACACCGGGTTTTTGAATTATTAGATAGTTCAAAGTCCCACTTATTGTACCCTAATAATTATATGTTCGTTTTAACTTTAATTGCCTACAATATCATGCCACCTTTCGTATATATTTTTGTTAGGAATCGAATCTCCTACAAATAAGCGAGAAAGCAAGAAAGAAAAAACAATCACAAAAGACAGAGATTTTTACGTAGTATGGCAATTTGCCTACGTCCACCGCCGCACTAGAGTTTCTTTCTTTCTTTCTTCCTGTTAAAAATTAATGTTACTAGAGAGAGCATCCATATATATAGATAGAGACTAGGGCTATATGCTACATCTAGAATTACATATTTGCCCTTCTACATAACATATAACTTTCCAGACACCATAACAATAATACCGTTATAAATTGTTCATAATTTATTCATTTATTTTTATATCTTATTTTGATTGTTTTATGTGAACCCTCAACATTTTGAACCTCTTCACTCTGTTGTTTTTTTTTTCACCACAGGTATTAGGTCATAATGATAGTTTCTCGTCGTCTGTTTGCCCTAATTGGATTAAAATTTATCCTAGTTAATCTTGGTGGATTCCCAAAACTGGAAACACTTAAACTTTGATAGACTGGGTGTTTTGGCCTTCGTGGGATAACCTTATCTTTTTTCTTTAAGTTCTTTCATGTACCCATCAGTTCATAGTTTTGAGTATATACTACGTCTATTTTACATGTCTTACATTCTAGCATGTCTTAATTTACTGATGTACATAGTTCTATAGCGACAGGGCGTCCCTGCTATATTTCATGTTTAGCATCTCAATGTTGTGTTTTTTGCTAGGCACATCATACTTCTGCAACTCTAATGAGACATCATTTCTTGGACTAATGACAACAAATATAGGCCGAAGGTACGCTTGCCTACACGCTCCGGTTTTGTTGTTGACTGAAAACACTATTTGGTTTTCCTTTCTTATGCACCAATGTATTCCAATTGTTATATTGTTATAGTGATTTTTTAATGTTTTCCAAGCTGAACGGTATTTTCATTTTATTATTTTGTAATCCATGTTCAACATGATTGTATAGCCAGATTTTACCTTAACCAACTACCATTAACCCATTTTGAGGCAAAATTCATATTTAAAATGGGATCAAAACTGTTAGGATTGCACATGGCTGAAGTGTATTTAAATGATGCGGTCTAACCACTAAACAACTTCTATTTTGCCTAAGAATTCTACGTTTGTTGCTTATTGCCTATATGTACTCAAGTTTAAACAGTGGCATTGTCACATGAGTAGCATAATCATTATACCCACTACTACTTTGTGCACTTACATATGGCAGAAATTCTACACACACGCACGCACACACATAAGTAACAATTGGTCATTTGGGTTAAAAAAGGGACAGGGCCTTGCACATACACAAACGATTATACTTAACCCATCTATTAGATGGTTTTGAGACCCATGTGGATCCAAACCTGGCCACCCCCACAAAAAGGAGGGAAAACGAAGAAGAAGAGATGACGACCTGATATACATGCTCAAACCCGACAACAGCCTAAATACCATTAATAAAGTCACTAATTTTCCTAGTTTGTGCGATTGCTTTCTCACTCCCAACATCAAACACGTGAAACGCATGCCCCTCTCCTTCAGTCTCAAACACCTCCCCCTCCCCTTCCCATCCGCTCTCCATCAGCCTCTCACAATAACTCCTCCCTCCCTTCCTCAAAAAGTCCTTCTCTCCCAAACAAACCAGCACTCTTCTACACCCCAACCCCCTCAAAGTCGGCGCCATCTGGGCCATCGGATTTATCCGATGATCATCAAGCCCTGTCGTCGAAGGACACGTCAAAGTCGGCGCCATCTGGGCCATCGGATTTATCCGATGATCATCAAGCCCTGTCGTCGAAGGACACGTCATCCTCCACATCTTCTCCATATCCTCAGTAGAATTACTCTTCTTTCCCTCCAAGAAGTACGGATGTATTATAACTGATCCTTCGATCTCCACCCCGTCACCGACCCGTTCCGTTCCTGCTCTCATCGCCACATTATGCGCTATATTTCCTCCAGCACTATCTCCCGCCAAAAACAGCCTGTCAAAATCTGCGTGGGCTGAGAGCCAATCATCCGGGCCTTCTCCGTTTACATGGGCTACAGCCCATTTTAGAGCTTCCCACGAGTCGTCGTATGCTGCAGGGATTGGGTGCTCAGGCGCGAGCCTGTAGCCGACCGAGACGAGCACAACGTTGAGTTGAGCAACGAGAGGGTTGAGATAGTTGTGTGTAAATGAACTGAACGCTGATCCGAGACAAAAGGCTCCGCCGTGATAGTAAATGATAAGGGGGAGTCTTGAACTCGGGGAATGAGCGAGGTTTGGGAGGTAGATTCGAGCCGAAAGAGATGTTTGTGGATTGATTGTCGTGTCTTTTGATGAAACTCGGGTTTCTGGGTCGATGGAAGGCTGGACGAAATCAGAAGGTATTAGACGTTGAATTAGGCCGCTTTTGTAGATTCTGATGAATCTTGAATCGAATTCGATTTCATCGATGGAAGCCATTGATGACAGTGAAGATCAGATGATTTCTTGATTTTTTTAGGAAATTAGTAGTGTTATATACAGTATTATATAAGTCGAGATCAAGTGGTTAATCCTTAAAAATGAAGCGAATGCAATAGTCAGGGGGTTTGTTGGCTAGTTCCTTTCAGTTGGTAGCAAGTGTTAGGTGCTTAGCCTGCATCCTAAATGTAAACACCAATAAACTTCTACCATTATTAGATGTATTAGGTGAAAGTCCTCAACGAAGGAAAATTTGCAATTTTTTTTTAATTCAATCAACTAGAACAAAAAGTTTTTTATTTGGAAATTCTTTTAAATGATTTCTTATAATGGGTTTCTGATGAAAAAGATTTCTGGATGTTTTTTTAAATTTTTAATTTTCTTTAACTGTTGATCCTCGTAGTGTAATTAATTCTTTAAGAGTATGAAATAATGATAAGATGGGCGTTGGAATATTCAATCTGAGAGGCATCTAACTAGTATTCTGTTCTTCCAATATCTGGAATTGCTGTCTGGCTATCGATGTTATCCAGCTTTCATACGCAACTGATGTTAGAAAATCGATTTGGGACTCTTCATTCTCTCCCAAATCATATTATGAAAGTCCTTGTTGATGGTGCCTTGAGATTTGACTGTAATAATATTTGGAAAATTCCCATTCCCCTTGAAGTCAATATTCTCTTTTGGTTGGCTGTGAAAACTAATTAAACTCAATACTAGAAACGTTCTTAGTACGAGAGGAATGTCTGTTGACACAGTTTGTTGCTTGTGTGAAACAGAGAATGAGACTCACTCTCATATATTTTTACATTGTAGATGCATCGTATCTATTTGGGGCTTTTCCAGTACAAACTTGGTATCGCTACTATCGTTCAAGGGGATACTCTGAAGCAGTAATGGCTTGATTGGGAGTTGATGACTGGTCATGAAACCAAGATGCAACGACATGTTTACATATGGTTGTTCTCCATTGGAAAGATATCTCTTGACCTCCTTAATGAAATTGTGCACTTAGCATCATTTTGGATAGGTGCTTCGGCTCTGGCAAAAATATTATGCAGAGAGGCACACGAGGAGGCAGATGGCGGCCATCGCTAGCCGGAGAGGGGGACCTTATTTTGTGCCCAATTGCCCTCGACTGACTTCTTCGCTGCGAATGCTAAAGTTTGTTCTTTCGTTGCCTGGGATCCTTATTTTGGTTATGTGCACTTAGCTATTATTTTGTTCCTGTCATACAGGACGTTAAACTGATTAATTTCGTATCCTTGGTTGGGGGGTATGATTTATATTTGTATTAGCCACATTTCGGGTAATGTAGCAGGCTGGGGCTCTTTTGATGCCAAAGAATTCTCGTTTCAAACCTTTGTCGAGCGGAAGCTGAGTTTTATTTATGTATAAGGCTGCTGCATAGAAACTCTGGCAGGCTGGAAATTTTAGACTTGAGAGAGAACTGGCGTCTAGAGTCCAATGTTTGACTAAGGGTTAATTTTCAGAAAACCCCCTTAACTTTGGTGGTTTTGGAGTTAAACCTCTTAGCTATTTTAATTCTACAACCCCCTGCACTTTGAGGGGTTTTGCACATAACCTCCTGACGACCTGAACTTCTTTTATTCCCGGAAACTGACAGTAATCTACTACGTCACTTGATGAGCACATAACTAAACAAGATGAAAATATTCGCTAGCCGTAAGAAATTAGCGGAAATACATAATAAAAACAACTTCTAAATGGTTTTATTGTTTGCTCACTCCAAAAATTTGTTCTCACTTCAGCTTGTATGGAAAACCAAAAAAAACTATTTTTAATTACACAAGTTGATCGCATGGCATAATGTTATCTACTCCTCTATACAAATGAGAGAACTCAATATTCAACATTTATGTTACAGTAGCACTTACTGTAGTACTATTACTATAGCGGCATGAAAACTGAGCACTATAGATTTTTTTGAGAAATATTACTGTAGAGAATACTGTAGCACAGGGAGGATAATATAGCAATTCAAAAATTCAAAAAAAACATAATATAGCAATTCAAAATTTCAAAAAAATTACTGTAGCAGAGAGAATGAAGTGACTCAAGAAATCAAAGCTAATATCCCGGAGCCTCCATTATAGCCTAGTTACGGAACTCGATAAGAATCTAATATATTATGTAAGGAAAATGACTTAAGGACCCAAAATATGGGACCAATGGAGGGGACATGTGAGGTGTCCCTTTCCTATTGCATAATGAGTTGGCATGACCAACTCATTATGCAATAGGGAGGGGACACCTCACCTGTCCCCTCCCTTGGTCCCATATTTTGGGTCCCCTTAGCAGCACTCCTTATGTAATTATTATGATTGAAGAGAAAATTGCGAGTCTTTATAAGCCATAACGGCTAGGTGTTCCGGAGCAAGATAACAGTCTACAGACAACGACTATATTAGCTTTCGCAACGAAGGAGCCGAGGTTGTTGTCGAGACGAGGAACATGATTGTTTTTTCTGATGAAGAAAGAAGCCTACTGATTGAGCAAATTCTAAAAAACTGGATTATGTAGAACTTTGTTTATTTATTTATTTTGAATGGCAGCCATAATGAAGGAAAATCAGCAAAGATCAAACTGCTGGAACAATGAAAGTGAGGAAAGCTCCTACTGCTTATAGCATGAACCCGGCTCTAATGACACCTCTCGACCTAATCCAAATTCACTCAGTGGTGCAGCGGCAACCCCTCTCTCATTCAGCAAGCACCTGAAGCGATCCAATCTTCCTCTGACTAACTCCGGATGCGTTGCCAGCTTTTCCAATGGAGTCCACATCCGTTCTGGATGACACAATAATGCTCAGTGTCAGTTTTTTTTTTCACGTGAGTTATACAATGAAAAATCAGCAGACGTTGAAAAATAAACAACTAAGAACTTCAATTATTGCATGCTAACTTCTGGGACCTTTACTTCTCGTATGAGTTAGGACATTTCCTTCTTGTATGATTATTTAATATTTCGTACGGGGCTGTTTGGAGATTTCCAAAGGAAAAAGGAAACCATATTTGGCAATGAAACACATTTTTGGTGGTGGGAGTTTTTCAAAAAAACTATGTTTTCCT